CCGCTCTTTGGCGCGCCTGACGATGACGATGATGACGATACTGCCAGGGGCTTCCACGTCGACCACGACGTGGAAAGTCATCCCCGTTCCACCACCCGCTCCCTTTCGCCATCCAGCGGTCGCTCTCGGTCATCCGACAAGCTGCGCACCCCTCTCGAGCCCAAACTCTCCGGCACGAGCAGTCCCGCCCAGCCAATCGAAGTCCATGCGTATCCGCCGAGTATCGCGTCTTCCGCGTCTTCCGCGTCATCATCTTCCTTACCGCCGCAAGCGCCGGTACTGCGCGAAGCGACAAAGTTAAAGCCGAAGCGCCGCTCGCCGCCGTCACCCATTCACATCCGCAATGATAACCCAGCGGCTGTCAATTCTCCACGCCCTGGACCTACGCCGAAGACTGCACCGGTGTCAGCGCCGGTGCCCACGCCTCCGCCGGAGCCTGTGCCGCCACCCGAAGAGGAGGCGTGGGCCGAGTCGTGGGACGACACGGACGACTGGGCAGACAAGGTCGGGGAGGAGGATTGGACGGGCCGCAGACTCGAGGAGAAGAAGAGTGTATTGTCTGGTTGGGATAATGGCAGCCCGATGGTAAACTCAGTGCATACCATCAAAACATAGCATTTGCGGGTTAGTAGAGGTACTGTACACTCGAATAATCTCTCTCTTTGGTTATAGGCGAAAGAACAATCAAGGCACTGTACTCAACGCACTTCTACAGCCATAGAGCGCACGCAAATTCTGCAACTACATCCGTGGACCTCCAACCTTCGAGCGCGGTCGCAAATTCTGCATACGCAAGCAGTTTGCAGTGGGAAGTTCGCCACCAGTTTGCGATTCCCATCCGAATGAAGCCATAAATCAAGGCCCACAGCTCGCGCCTTCATAGAGCCATGTCGAGCCATCCAATCCCGCACGGATACCCGCACGCAGTCGTGGATTCCCCAGATCATATTATCCTCCTTGCCCATCCATATCGTTGCGTGAGGCTCGAAAGTCGGCCGAGCGCGCTTTATATCCCAGTCAACACAGCTATTGAGGCACTGCGGTCAGTAATCAATGTCACGAGAAACATCAAGACACCTTACTAGCTATAAATGCCATCCCGAATTTCCTCGAGTTCCCTACATAGGGTGACGGGTACTGCGACGCAGGTGTCGCCGAATGGCTCTGGGGTAATTTCACCGAAGATGAGGTCGTGCGCAGAGACCTTTCTACACAACTGACGGAGATATTCCGTCAGAGGTACAAGGCCTTCTCCAGAGACTCGCAGGAAAGAAATGATAGAGATGTGGACGGGGGCTGCATGCGAAGAGGAACCGAAAGCTGCGCGTAGTCCATCGAGGAAGTGGCATACTGTACCGTTTCGTTCAATTCGAATCCGGTTGTGACCTGTGACCGCAAGATTCGAACTTCGATGTTCGAATATCGCCCAGATGGAGCGTGACAAGGAAAAAAATTCGAATATTTGTGGCGAGCCGTTGGCCCGAGATGGTGAGAAAACAGGTGGATTCTGGTGCTTGAGAGGTGAATTCAACTCGTTTCAACAAGTTGAACCAGGAATCAATGAAAACCAGCCTTTTGAAGCATTTTTTGGATGAAAATACGCCGGGCGCGGAAAAATTTCACTTTTGAGCCCTTTTCAGGCATTTTGTGACTTGGTTTCGCGTATTCGAAAATCCCCTCGGTGACCTGTGACACGTTCGAAAAAGTTCGAATATTTAGGCCCTTGTGACGCGTGACATTCGAATTGAATGAAATGGTACAGTAATTTATCCTCTTCCCATTTGACTGTAATGGAGTAGGTCATCCAGATGTAGGAGGTCGTGCGTGGTGGGCAGTCGTAGCATCGACCATGTGGTGGAAGGGTGGAAAGGAGGCATGCGTTTCAAAAAAAGCTCGGATTGAGATTAGATGTGGCTGTACGATAACAATCTCATCTCGCTTACATTTTAAGCACTCGGTCCCGTTCATGACACCGTCCTCTAACTATCTCTGCCCAGCACCACCATGGCCCCCAAAGCAAAAGCAGCCCCGAAAAACCTGAACCCGATTATTGCGACCTCGCAGCAATCTCGCTTCCATACCGAGACACTCGATACCACGCTCGAGATCGATCTCAAAGCCGTTACCATTTCTATTGGAGAACGGGAACTAATTTCCTCGAGCCATCTTCGTCTCAAGGAGGGCATTCGCTATGGTTTGGTTGGACGCAACGGCAGCGGGAAATCGACCCTGCTTACAGCGATAAGCGAGAAGCTAATCCCTGGTCTGAGCCCATCTATCCGGATTCTCCTGCTCTCCCAGGTCGAGGATAGCGCGAGAGCGACTGAAGCACAGGGAGAGTCCATAAACGTGCTTCAGCACGTTGTGAAAGGGGACAAGGAGCGCCAGGCCGCGGTGGAGGAGCTCGAAGGCAAGTCACATTCAAAATCATTGCAATATAATATTGAAGCCGCCTAGCTTTGACCAAAGCCACGGAATCCACGTCTCTACGCGAAACACAGCGTATTGTGTACGGCTTACGCCTCAATGTGCGCCGGCGCGAGTTGGTAGAAGCCAAGAAAGTGGCGAGCCGAAGATCCGGTGCGCGGGGCAAGGACGCCCGACTAGAGGAAATCAAGGCTGAAGAGAATGTCAGACAGGCCGAGCTTTTGTAAGGCATCTTGTGGATTGCCTTACCTGTGACTCACACTCTCCAAGACTCGAAGGGGTGGACACCGCCGACATCGTACCCGATATCATGAATCAGGCGCTGGATATGCTTCAAAATATCCAGGTCACGCTCGAACTAGTATGTTATGTCCTATCTGTGTTCTATGGGGTCTAACTTTCGAAGCTCGAGACGTCATCTACGGAAGCGCGGGCTGCAACAATTCTCTCCGGCTTGGGCTTTACACAAGAGATGATCGATGGACCTTATACCAGCCTTTCCGGTGGATGGAGGTCCCGCTGCTCTCTTGCAACATCCCTTCTCGTCCATAGCGACGTCCTGCTTCTCGACGAACCATCAAATTTCCTGGTTTGCGTTCATTCCAGATATTTACGTTAGATGTTCAACCTATGTACCAGGACCTCGAAGCGATAATCTGGCTCGAAGGCTTCCTCAGCGGCCAGTCGCGCACCCTGGTCCTCATCTCCCACGATCAGGACTTTTTGAACAACGTCGTCGAAGAGACCATCATCCTGCGGAATAAAACACTCGAGTATTTCGAGGGCACCCCGGCGGCGTTTGAGGTCAACGAGCGGAAAAAATCGAAGCAGCTCACGAGTGCGCAAGAGGTTCTGGATAAGAAGCGTGAGCATGTGGGTTGATCGTTGGCTGTCTCTCATGTTCAATGTTGAACTGACGCCGCGTAGATCGAAAAGTCGATTCAGCAGGGCATTGCCAGTGCCAAGAAAACCGGAGATGAAAACAGGTATGCGGTATCTGTTTATTGGCGCGTTAGCTTATATTTGTTCAGACAGCGAATGGTAAAATCCCGACAGAAAAAGTCGGTCACGTCTTCAACATATAATTTCACTTCAACTGATTTAGCCCAGACTGGATGAGCGCTGGGGAGCCGAAACGAGCGCGAAAGGCACACGATTTAAGCTCAACCGCGATATGGCGGGATACTTCAACAGCAACCGCGCGGACGTCGACAAGGTCGTAACCGAGCCGCGAATAAAAATCAACATCGAGAGCCCGGAGAAGCTCCGCACTACGGGAGATTTAATTCATTTCGACGCGGTGGAGTATCGGTTCCCGAGGGCGAAGAAGCCCTTCCTGGAGGATATCACTTTTACCATCAATCAAGGCGGGCGGTGCGCGTTTGTTGGCGCAAACGGGCAGGGGAAATCGTTGGTTGATATTTCTTCGATGCATACCATTGCTGATCTTTTACCCAGCACACTGGCAAAACTGATAATGGGATCCCTGAAACCAACTAAAGGCAACATCGTTCGGCATCCGCTTCTCAAGATCGGCTACTTTTCGCAACACTCTGTCGAAGAGCTGTCTATTGCTTCCGCCGTCGGGCCATCAGATAGAGATACACCGGTGACGGCGCTCTCGCATTTCATGGACCACTTTATGGCTCAGGGAGTATCCGTTGTCGAGCAGGACGCGCGCAAGTGTCTGGGATCTTTTGGTCTGCAGGGCAAGATTGCCAGCGATACACCGCTGGCGCAGTTGAGTGGTGGGCAGAAGGTGCGATTGGCTATCGCGCTGATCGTTTTCATCCCCCCGCCGTTGCTGTTGCTCGATGAAGTGACCACGCACGTCGACTTTCCCACCATCCAGGCGCTCGCGCGGGCACTCAAGACGTTTACGGGGGCGATAATAATCATTACGCACGACCGGTGGTTCAGCCGCGTCGTGATAGAGGGCGAGTCGCTCAGGCATGCAACGTTTTCGGACGACGCGGATGATTCGGACGATCCCTCTTCAAGTGACGAGGATGGCGATGAGAGCATTCCACCTGGGAAGACGTATCGTGTTGGTGGGGGGAAGCTAAAGTTGATGGAGAAGGGTATGGCGCAGTACGTTGCGTTTGTAGAGCGCAAGCTAGCGAGGAAGAAGAGGGAGGAGGCGAAAAGTTGACCTGACCTAGATTGATTTCCGGATAATACACCCAGTCTGTTGATTTGCACATAATTTTTCGAGAAAAGTGCGTTCAGCGTTCGCAATTTCAACCTTGCCACTCGGTTTTTTCGTTGAGAAGGATCCACCTCAACAACCATGCTCCCCCGAACCCCCAACGCGTCTTCCTTTCCGTCCCCCCGGCAACAAGCACATTGTTCAACTTTGTTTATTTCTGGGTTGAGAAATAATGATGGAAGTCAACTTTGAGTCAACAACCTGCGGTCCAACTCAAGACCCTGGACCAACGTCGTTATTATATCTGCAACTGATTGATTCTCGGTTACAAAGTGGTAAGGTAAAGAAAAAACATCTTTCAACGATCCAAATCCTAATGCTCTCGAAAAGCGGGGTTTTGTTTCCCACCAAAATAAAATAAAAGAACCCCCGGCGGGACTCGAACCCGCAACCTCCAGATACGGACTAGATTACAAGATTGACAGAGAGCAGCCAAAACAGGGAATGTAGAAGTCTGACGTCATAACCATTAGACAACGGGGGCATTGAGGCATCTTTGGATCGTAAGGATTGCATTGGTTTGCACATTTTTTCTCAAATGGAGTTTTAAGTTGAAGGGAATAACCGTTTTAGGTTCGTCATGACGCCAATCCGAATAATTCGGAGTTCTGTTTCCGGGGGTGATCGTCGGATTGCATAATGAGAATAGGTGAAGGTTATCCCACTCAAGCTCAAGTCGCCTATATATTTATTTTTCAACATCCCAGAGATGCCCGATATTTGGCAAGTTCGAAGACGCACTTTATATGTGTGACTTCGTTGATACAGCGAGTCTCCTCGAGCTACAAAAGCGTGCATATTACAATTAATTACCTTCAAATCCAGTCCGAGAAATAGCAGTCACCTCGTCAGACGTCTCGCCACAAGGGTTCAAAAAGGAGAAGGGAATGGACCGATGTGAGCTATCACTTTGTGATACGCTCAAGCGCGGCGGAAATCAGTAACAAAACGACTCACGGAGGAAATCACGATAAGCCTCAGAGACTACACGGCATGCTACGGCTGTCACGGAGGTTTTTCCCACGGTTGAAAACTGACCTGGCGGACGCTCCCTGCGCGGACGGAAAGGTAACACACTGCAACGGAATACACGCACTACGGAACGCTCGCGGAAAAAGGGTAGCAAAATTGCGAAAGGCCCGACCTCGAATCGAACGAGGGACTCGCAATTACGCAATATTGTGAAGAGAAGTACTACAAATGCGCGCGTTACCAGTTACGCCACCGGGCCTATACTGCAAATAGTCATTCAACACCCACGGAATCACTCACGAATACTTGCGCACGCTCTGTCGAAAAATACACTTACGGAGCGTGGGAAAAAGCGAATAAAGGCCCGACCTCGAATCGAACGAGGGACTCGCAGATAATGCAATATTGCGAGGAACCGACAATGCGCGCGTTACCAGTTACGCCACCGGGCCTATACTGCCAAACCCACGGAATCACTCACGGTCGAATACTTGCGCACGCTCTCTCCGTGACGGAAAAATACACCTACGGAGCGTGGGAAGAAGCGAACACGGCTTGACCTCGAATTGAACGAGGGACTCGCAATTGTAATATCGTGGAGAGTCGACTGCAAATGCGCGCGTTACCGTTACGCCACCAGGCCTATACCTTGAACAACCAGCAAATATCAAGGAGTGCCACACGGACATATTCACGGACGACTTACGGATCGCTACAGGGACATGCGAAGCGACGGGATCGGGCAAACGTAAAGGTTGTGGGGGCAGGTTTCCGTCGAGCCTAACGGAAGGCGCTGTGAGGCTTGTGTTCGCGCTGCACTGCTCACACCGCCTCATGGCTTGTCTGGACGAGACGTGACGGCTCGGAATTCCCACTCACTCAAGATTCGCCCAATTAGGAAACGACCTTGCCTCATTCGGATCTACTTCCAACAACTCGTTACTCGACGATCCCAGTGTTTACGACGACTCGTACGAGCACCGAACCCGGCCAGGATGGCAACCAGGCACGCCAGGCACGCTCGGGCTTCGCGGGGAGACCTGACCACGCGCACCGTTGCGACTTACGAACTTGCGCCATTTCCGAGCCCCCATACAACGTTACAAACGACTCTTGAACGACCCTCGACGGCAGGATAGCCATGTCTGCGACCAAACGACCATTCCCCCACGTCCTATCCACCATTATAACCTATTCCACCACATTCCGACGACTCAGAACATCGCGAATCCCTTACGAACACTCGGAAACGGCGCTATTTCGGAATTTCGACACCTCTGAGTGCTCGTGAAGCTCAACGTCCGCGAATATCGGCAGTCTGGGAGCTCAGAAATGCCACGGAAGGTCGAAAGAGGCTCGAGGAGCATGTGGAACGAGGCTGTGGACGCCGACGGGACGGACAACGTGACTGGCTTGGAAAAGGTATAAAAGGCGTCGGACGAATCGAGGGTAGTCAGTCAATTACTTGTGGACTTTCGGATTCAGTTCCCAGTCAGCTACCACAAGGAGACAGTTCCAGTCGAGGACTCTAGTCCAACGCTGAGTTCTTTCCCTGACCTTGTACCTTTATCCCCCAATTACATCCTCGAGTTGACCACCAACGCGCTTGCTCATCACCACCGCCAAGGGACATCGTCTCAAAGATTTGCCTTTCATTTATACACCCGAGAATACTAACTACAGGTTACCGGACACCACCAACGTCCCTTCCGAGCGCTCGTAAACCGCCTTCAGCCCGTCCCGAGCACTCGGGTCTCGCACACACACACACGCCTTCGACCTTCGACCAACACACACACTCGGATCCAACAAGGCAGACCACCTACAGCCTCACGTTCTATTAGGAACCAACTTTAAAGAGCCCTAGAGGACGAACCAGCCACTTTGTGATCCCACATATTCGCCTAGTGGCACCGCGGTCCTTATCACAGCGCGTGCATCAACTTAACGGAGAACATGGGAGTCGAACTTCGCGGAGGGCATGTGAGGATCCACAGGAAGGGCAATACAACGGAGGCTTCACGGAGAAGTTCACGCGCGGTAATCGGGCGGGAATACGTATAAAAGCCAGATGTATTTACCAAGGAATCATCTTGTTATCCCCCACTGCTCACACCTAAGCTACCCTTCCCCCAGCCTTACGGAGCGGAGTTGTCTCTCTCATATACACATAATAGCTCAGGCTACGCCGTCCTCCGTGGGGCTAGCTAAATAGGTCACTTAGATTGAAGGTTCACCAAGGAACCCTTTCTAAAGGTCCCTTCGACTCCGTAAAAACGGGTCGGGAGGAAATTGTTGAATACAAAGGCGTTGGTCACGGCGCAGTCGATGAAAAGCGCGTACTTCTAAACAGCCAGCAGCCCCTACTTAGCTGCGTGCAACTGTTGTATTGGAGGCTCAAACGCAGATCCGTGCGCAGGGCACCACTCCCCATCTTCACGGAAGGCTTATCTGTGAAGATTATAACCACTCCACCATTTCATTCGAAACACAACTTCGCCACACTCGTCACGGAACCTCATCCGTTGCGCGTTCACACAAGCACAGAAAGAAAACGGGCTACGGAGGAAAAGAGCTATAGCCTGCTCGCGCTGTGTTAAAACCCACGTTTTAAAGACACTGCTTGCCCGAGTAATACGAGGCAGGGAGAAAAGAGAAACCCCCATATCACCCAGGTCTCCCGGCTCGGATCGACGCTCGCATTGCGAAGCTCTACTCCTTCGCGCAAGTGTAGAGCGGCCTCCAACCGCGGCTTTCCTGGAAGGCTAGCCCCCAACAAGGAACTAAAAACCTCGAGGAACCTAGCGCTCACATCCTAATCCTCACGGAAACGGATTGTACCATCTCACCACCACCACCACAATTATATAAACCTTCCGTAGCGTACGAGTAGCTACGTTTCTCCGCGACAGAGTAATTTCCCTCTAGAGGACGAATCACCTTCGTGTACTTGCCTGAAACCAATTCACTGGTCAGACATCTCACGGAACCGCAGTCCGCATCACACCGTGTACAATTGTGAGATCTTTGAACTCCAGGCACTTGGCATTCCAGCTCTTGCGTGCACACGCGAAGCTCTGGCTGACGCGCGCGCGGCTGGTCGTAACATGGCCGCGGAGATCGTGTCGTGCTGCTGGTCTATCGTTTGTGTTGATCCGGAAGGTTGGTCGGCCGTTTTGCTCCCGCCGCCGTTGCACTTTTTGAAAGTCCCGAAGGATCTGCGGAAGAAGCCGGTGCATATGAATTGGCCGAAATCGAATTCAACTTTGTCCATCGTGTGTGGAATATTTCGGGACCTGGAGGAACGACATTGCGAAAGGCCTTGTAGTGTTCTGTGTGAGCACAGAGGAACTTCTTTATCCGCCAAATGGCGGCAATGGATGCTCCATCACCACAAGGCATGAAAATCAAGTTTTCTAACGCCTTTTCATCCAACCCCAACTGGGCAAAAAAATCCAGAACCCGCATCATGCCGTGGGTCTCGGTTGAGTGTTCTGAGTTCGTTCCAAGCGGTTGCATTACGGTGACACGGTCTTTGGGGAGGCGCCGTTTGGTCATGCCGGCCGAACTGAGCAATGCAGCGACCTCGGCGCGCAAGTAGGCGAGTTGGGGGATGAATTTGACCAGGATTCGAACCCAGATGATTGCGGTGAGCTCGTGAACATATTGCCAATCGATATCTGCTCGCAGCGACTGGGCCGTGAGGTTGCGCCGTTCCTGCAGCATCACACGGTCAATATGATCTTGCAAATTGAACGCGCCGGGAGCACAATCCTCCAGGAGTATGGCGGTTGCCGCTGTGCCAATTTTAAGAATGTCCTCGCGCCCCAGTCGGTGATCGCGCTGTCGGCAGTACTCCTGGGTATTATCGAGTACAAGTTGCCAGTACATGGTGCCATTTGCGATTCCCTCAGCGACAGACGCCGTCAATTTTGACATGCTGGAGTCAGTGAGCGAGTCTAAGCAGGCACGTGCCGTGGTGTCGTGTACAGTGAAGCCAAAGCGACTGAAAACCCGTTTTTCATCGACATGGATCCTGCACACAAACTGCCACACAGCCAGCGGAAGCGCGAGATAGCCACTGGCATACCGGTTTCTGGAAAGTGTCAAACAGCTTATGGCCCCGACTTGAACCTGGGTGTGCATCAGACAAAATATTGGCAAGAAGTAAAATGAACTACCGCATTGTGAGGTCGCCGTTTTCTCAGGACCGTTACACCGTTCATCGTAGGAGCACCACAGCACTCCGTAACGTACCACAGACCGCGGGCATGGCGCTTATATATCGAAGCGATACGAGGAATACTCACGCGACCCAAAGTATCCCAAGTTGCCAGCCGGATGCTTTTTGCTCTGCCGTTGGTGCTGGCACGAAGCTGAGTTGTGTCCGTAGGGTCTGAGGCATCGTTTTGAGTGAGTTCCCAGGTCTGGCGGCGAAGCTCTGGGCCGACTATTTGAAGAGCCCAGGTGGAGAGTGCCGGTCGAGCACAATTTATATCACGAGGAGAGGAA